AGAAAAATGTCAAATACCACAATACCTATGGGAATGCGCAACCTTATTTTTAATAATGGGCACCTCTCACTTCTCTTCAAGTCCTATGGGAATGTGCAACCTTATTTTTAATAATGGGCACCTCTCACTTCTCTTCAAGTCTCTGGAGATTTTGATGTTTCATCTAAATCCACCCAGATTCTCATGATCTTTAAAGGTGGGGAGACAGTGGAAAAATACTTCCTTGGGAGACGAACTGGTTACAAACCATGGATCCAGTTCCCATTATGAACATCTTTAAACATCAAATATTTTCAGGTCTAAGGTTTGGTTGCCTGCAATCTTGTGTTTTCCCCCACTCCTTTTTGCTTTGCTGGTTAGAATGAAGAATTTGATTTAAGGTTATATGCCTGGAAAAATAAAGCATTTAATTTACATTTTACAAGGCAGTTATTGCAGGTTAATTAAATATCAATTGAGTGTTATAGGCCATATTAAGATTTATTAATAACCCAGCAGATAAATCTCCTTGGAATTCAATTAAATGAAAATCACATAAAAATATATGTGCAATTTTATTCATATAATACATAAAACTTGTGAATTATGGTACAGCATTGCACGGTAAGTTGATTAATGGGAATTAATTGCTGAAATAGAGAAAAATCAATTTAAACTTCCTGTAGCAGACACAAGAGGCACGGTATACTTCTCCCATACCCTTGGAAAGCTGAGTTTGTGTCTGCACGTACACCGTCGCGCTCCGTATCGTAAGATGCATCTTGGACACAAATGTGCTTCCTCTCCTTTCACCTGCTTTGGCTCAGCGTTCTAGGCTCAGGGAAAGGAACAGCTCTGTACGGCCAGCGTGCCCTGTTGAGTTCCTTGTGTGAGTGGAGATTTTGGAGGTGAAAGCAGCAGCAGACCGACACGCTGGTGGGTACCCCTGACGCTGGAAGGGCGCGTGGGTTCAGGTCACGGGCGAGATCTCTGTAAGGGAAAGGCTCACGAGTGTATGGAGAGGTGTGGGAGTGCTTGTACCGACGGGTGTTGGAGACTTTTGCCCTTGATGCTTTTTTCAAATCTCTCCTTAAGCATTTGTGAGGTAGCAATAGAAACACTGCTGCCAGGTTGTCTGCAAACTCACAAGCACGTGGGTGTTGGGCTTTAACCAGGATTAGTGGGCAGATCTAGGCCCATTTGGGGAAGCAAAGCTTCTGACTTTGGAGATGAGGTTCAGGAGCTGGACTTGGAAAATATCTTTCCAATATTTGCAGAACTATTGAGGCCTGGCGTGCTGCCATCTGTTCCCTGCGCATCCTGTGTTAAACACTGTCAATATGAGATTATGTTCCAATTACAGTACCAGACTGACTGGTTTAACTCCTACCATGAATCTATTTTCCTTTATTACTATGTACTAACTATGTGACTGATGTACCAGACACGAAAAGAGATGGTCTCTGCCTGGAGGGCTTTGTCTAAAAGAAACATGCCGGGAGAAGACAGAACGCAACAGAAAATGCAGATGAATGAGTAACTCGGTTGAGATTTTCTTTTTAATTTGGGGATTCTTTGCTTGTTTGTGTCTTTGGCTTGAGTTTTAACATTACTAAACTTGCTTCCTTCAGATATTGCACAAGAACAGAGGCTTCCATAGAAACTCAAACAGGGTTAGGCATGTGGCTCTTTGAAGTGTCCGTGTGTGTTGGGGGGGTGAATGCTTAGTGCACACATGGGAACATTGGAGGATGGAAAATGAAGGGAGAACCACGTTCCAGCTCCGACAGCAACTCCAGCAGATGCCATGGCTCGTGCTGGGGAAGTTTAACCATGTTTAAAATATAGCAGGTGTCTTTCTGTCAGTGCACTCCTTGCTCATCCTCCCTGCTCCTCCGGTAGAGAATGCATGCATCTGTCTCCTCTGTGCTTCATCTCTGCTTCTCCCTGCAATAGTTGTCAGGGATATTAGCATTAAATACTTACTGCCTGGCTTAACTAAGGGGTAAGATAGGATTTAATTTGTATGGCTGAAATCCAATTATATAATGGAGCCCCTGGGGGAAGCAGTTATACCTGCTGAATCTCTTGGATGAGTAATTGTGCACAAAGGCTCCTCTCCAGAAGTAGAAACAGATCTAAAATATTTTTTTTCTCTTTTTTTTTTGCTGCTGCTGTTACATAATAGGGCCGAGACCCTGAAAAGAAAAGCCAATGACAACCCAGTGCAGTAGAAAGAATTAAAGCATTGCCAGGAGAAAACAAGTTATAATCTGATAAAATCAAGGATCTAACAGGAAGTCTGCAGCAGCATTGCTTGGAGGAGCCAAAATGCAGGGCAGCCAAAGGAAGCTTACTCATCTTTTTGGAAAACAGCACAGAGGCTTTGCTGTCTAACTTTTCCCCCCACTTCTACCATAGCAGAAGGGAATCCTCTACTTGCTTTTGTCAAAGCTTGGGAGGTGGGTAGGTATAAAAAAAAGCTAAGCAGCCAACTAATTCAAATTCTTTTGAAAAATCCTGCACTTAACTACCTTTAAAATCCCTCCTCCTTATCCTGCATGTCATCTGCTTCCTGATAAGCATCAAAATCATAGGTGATGATGAGCAGGACAGGAACAAAAGCATGATGAGGTTCCCAGCAAGGTTTCTGAAAGCAGGCAAGCTTATAAAGCGTTGATCTTGGGATAGGATTGGGCCTTGACAACTGTCCCATCTGATACCTTCAGCAGCTCCAAATCCCACACAGGAATATACCAAGGGCTCCGAATGGGACTGAAAGCATCAGCCCTGATACGTAGGCAAGTTTTCTCAAAGGGCAGAGTGCCATAATTCTGTTTTCAAAAATAGAAAGCAAACTTATTCTTTCCTAATGAATTCTGAATGGAAATACAATTTCCTCAGTCTCTTCGATTAGATGACTACGTGAAGAGAAAACGACGGCTGCCTCCGGCCAGCCGAGGGAAGGCCAAAACTCCAACTGCCCCAGGCTGAGGACAAACCCGGGTGGTCAGATACCCCCAGCCCATCCACCAGCCTCACTGCCTGGGCAAACCTTCCAGTTCTTTTAAAAAACAGCCAAAGCAAAGCGGTTGCAACACTTGAATTCCTGAGGCGAGGGTACCTGTCTGACAGACCTGCAGCTCCACCCAGTGGCTCTTTTTTGGCAAGAGAAAGCCAAGATTTCAGAAGCATTAAAACCTGTTGAGGTCAACGGTTGTTACACTGTGGCGATGCTCTGGCAACGTGCGTGAGAAATTGGGTGTATCGTTCTTTGTCAGATTCTTAGCAAGCTGCCATCTACCATTTGAATAATGGCAAAAAACTGCAAAGAGAATTTTTAGTGAAACAGAAAACATAGCAGTCTTATTACTCCCTTTCTTAAAAAATTCCTAGCACAAATAATAGGAAAAAAAAAGAAGTAGGGGTAACTTACACACTTCACCTTCCCAAATTCTCTATAAGCAGATTGCAATAGTTTCCCCCAAATTTATTTGTTACATGAAATTATTAATTAATTACTGGAAAAAATTATTTTTGATTTGTTAAGCTCATTTTGCAAAGAATTCTCTTGTGAGTGTGAATTTTGGTGAAGTTAACTTGGCAACTCACACCATATTGCTTTGCTTTCTTTCCTGGGTAATTACTGTGACTAACAAGAAGTGAAATTTGATCATTTCTATCAAGGATGCCATGCTGAAACTTGCTTTTTCCAGGAGGATTAGGGCACTTGTAATTAAAATAAGCTTTCATTTATGCATGTGTACACTTTTACTATAGGAAAACTCGAGAGATGGGTATGTATTCACAGAACACAGAAGTGCGATACCAACAGAATTAATTTTAGATTTGAACCAGTATTGTAAAAATATCCCATTCTTCCAAGCTCAAGTGGATACTGAAATCTCTATTGTGCTTAACATAGGTTTACCAGTGTCTCTGTATGTCTTAAAAATAGAGGAGCTGATAAACTGATACAAACCAGTGTTTGTTGTGAATCTTCTGGAAGCGCCTGCTCCATCTGTGTTAGGAAAACATCATCTGTGAAATACTGCTCCCGGACGGACTGTGTAGCTCCGAGTGCCATGGAATGAGTTGAAATAGCCTCTTCCTCCTCAAGTTCAGGTGTTATTTAGCATAAAGGCAGCATCTAAGGCCTTTGCTGAAGTTGCTGGCTGCCAGTGCGGCAGCTGAACATGAGCTTTAATTTGTTTTGCTTTGCTGCTAGAGTGCAAGTTAAGAGAATTTGAGTTACAAACTCTATGAATCTCACCTCTAAGCTTGTAGACATCAGTTATCCATCCATATGATTAGAAAGTAAGTCAGCCTACACGTTGTTAGCACAAGAGGTTGGAAGTTTCTTTTTACAGGGATAGCATTTCAGATGTTAAGAATAACAGGAAGCATCTTGAAAAAGGTAGCTCTAGAAAAGGGAATTCCATTTTCTTTTTAGTAAACCCTAAAACAGAGCAAGAACTTGCTGGGCTTTCCTTGTTTTCCCCAAAATTATCACTGAAGACCCATTGAGCGTATGAGCCAGGTACAGCCATTCCACCAGCCACCGGAGACCATGGTGACAATGGAGAGGTCCATTTGCTGAGTATGGAAAGCAATGGAGGCTCATCAGGCTGTGGAACAAAGCTGGGTAACTAATTTATCAAAAAGGTGTTTGCTGTGTGCCATCTCTCATCTGAAGCTGTCTCTCTTGTTCCTACAAGTGGTCCCTGGGCAGTGGTGGCACTGTGGGAATGAGTGAGGCCAGCAAGCCCTGCATCTGTGTGCACGTACCTGCAAGAGGATGCTTTCAAATAGACCCCAGTGTTTCATACCATACTTAAAATAGCTGAGTTGTTGGCAGGGCAAGGGTATATACTTGCAGCCTGAGAGTTTTGCTCTTTCTCTGTCTCTGTACCAGGATTGCTCAGTGTTTGCAAAATTTCTGCCAAAGGTCTGTGCATGTTGTGAAGTTCAGATGAAGCTTGCTGGTATGATAAGCTCTATCCTTACCCTAAATGTGCTGCTTAATTCTTCTTTTCATGAAGCTGGGGGGGGAGTCCAGGTTCCCTGCAGCTGCTTTCCACCACTGTGCAGTTCTAGGCTTGCTCTCTTTCCAGGGGAAGAGGGATTTGTACCCAAAATGCCTGGAGACTTTGTCTGTCTCATAGGAGGTGGTGGTGGTGACTATCGTGTTCAGTAAAGGCAAGTTTAGGAAAGGCTGTAGCTTGCAGAAAGGGTACTAGATGACCTTGATTATCCTGTGCAGTTATATCATTAGTATCATTAACCGCATCTTCCGGTAAGGGATGTGTGAGCCTAGTCTTACTGACGGGTCCACAGAGGACAACAGCTGATGCCTTATCAGAAAACCTTTTCTTGTTGGAGTGTCATCATAGGAATAACACACTTGTCCTGCGAGTAAGTCTGGTTTCAGCTGCAAGTTCCTTGCTGCAAGAACATGCATCCATGCAACATTCCCTGGAGAAATAAGAGGGGGGGAGAAACAGGTATTTAGGAGGAGCTAAATTTTCCTGTTTACTGTAGAACGAGTAGGTTGGATCTGCTGGCTTCAGTGCTGTGAAGCAGGGAAAGCACTCATCATGGTACTCAGCTGTTCTGTAGAGAGACTGAGTAGTTAATCCAGGCTTCCAAGATCCTTTAAACCTTTGGTCTTCCCTTTGAGCTGGACAATTAATGTGCCTTGTGATACTGGTTCATGTGAAGCGAAAGGGCAGTGTTGTGTAGTGAGAGCAGGATGAATGGGAGGCAGTGCTCGAGGGTTTTATTCCTGGCTCAGCTGTGAGCCTTTGAAGGAAGTCACTTGATTTATCTAGGCCTGATTCTTCTCTAACAGCATTTTCAAACTACTGTTATCTGCACTTTTGGAAAAAGACGTATAAGTGAGCTGCACAGAAATAACTAAAACCCCACATGATTTAATGGTGAGTTATACTCCCCTGAAGTGCATTCAACACCACAACAAACTGTTCCTATAAGTTTTGTGAGTAGTTTCTTGTGCTTCCTAAAGTCAGTTATGTACTACAGCCTTTTTTCCAAGGAATTGTACAAATAGAGTTAGTTTAATTTCTTCTAATGAAGAAGAAATTAAGTGTCTTTTCAAGCCAAAAACATTTTAAAAATACTGCCTGAATATCCCTCTCCCCCCATATATCCCTTGAAATGTTTACTTAGAAAAAGAAAGATTAGCTCTCTATCCCTTTTTCCGCTGACTTTTTTTTTCCAGTTTTCTAAAGAACATTTTCCCTATGTTGAGGAGAAGAAAAAAAAAAAAACCACCCTTCCAAGGAAAAACAGTAGAACGTAAACAACTGTTTTAAAAATTATTTTAGCCAGTGTAAGTTTTGTGGTTATAAAAATATTTGTGCTCATTTGCCACACTCGTCTCCCTGACTTGGAACATTATGGTTAAGCTGACGTGTAAAATCCTCTGTGTCTAAAACAGCCTGGTAGCACCACATGCAAAGAGATCAATCATCCACTCACCCACATATGTGTAATTACACGCTGTGTTTTCAGGCTCTCCATAGTTCAACACACCGTTCCTGGCTTGGGCAAGTAAATACAACTCTTGAAGAAACGTTGCTTTCTCCCCGTACGCTGTGCTTGGACGGATAATGCAGGTTGTGGGTTTGCCATCATTGCTCATCTGTAAAATCAGGAAGGGATGTTAGTGAGTTATGGATTCAGAGATTAAATCTTCCACAGTGATATTGTGTTAGCCAGATAAAAACAAACCCTGGGAATATTAGGCTAGAGGAGTCAACATTTGCAGAGGAGCTCTGGACACTTAGGGCTTGCTTTGGGTCCCTAAAAATGCAAAGAGGTGCCCGTGCCCAGTTTGAACTTTTTTTTTCTCCCCCCACAGCACACCTACACCCATGTGATACTCACTGAGAGATGTTGGATGGAGGGTCCTAGTGGCATTAACTCTCCTGCAGTTATGATATATAAATGAGTATTTGCAACAACCAAAATCTGGTACCAGGGGAAGCCAGCTAAGCTGGCTGGCCTCAAACTGTAACAGGGAGAGAGAGATGCTCCAGCCAGTGATTTAGGACACAAATCTCATTTTTACATTCTGCTTCATCCTCTGAAAGAACTCATCTATCTGCTGAATGTACTGCAAGTCTAAAAAGACTAGCCAGCTAATTTAGGTAGGTGGCTGACTCTGGATACACTAATATTTATGATTCTTAAATCACTCAAGCACATCTGCAAATTACACCTTTATGCAGCGTGAACTAGGTGAACATGGTTTCTTAGGCCATAATTTAACACAGCTCTTTCCAAAGTCACATTCCTTCTGGTGGAGTTAAAGCACAGGCTCAAAGGGCAGCACCCTTTGATCTTGCAAGTGTTTGGTAGCTTCCTGATAACGCGGGGATATTGGGCTTTGGTAAGCTTAGGGCAATTTCGTTTACGCGTCAAGTCAAGGCAGCAGTTGGATACACACTTAGATATGAGTCGTGGGGTCTTACTAATCATCTCTCTCCTTCCACCCATCCCGTGCTGTAATACCAGGGGTGCTGCCATTGATTTTTGTACCTTTTTTCCGTTAGCTTCAAATACAAGTTTTTTCTGCCATGGCCTTTGTCTTCCCATAAGGCAGCTCCACTTCCCCACTGTATTTGGTGTCCTCATTTCCCCTGAAATAGATTGTGAGAGACAGCGGGTGACCATGCAGTAGAGCACAGGGCTTGGAGACATTTGTCACAGCGTGATTTACTCCACAATCCCTGCTCTCCAGGCACTTACCACTGGCTGTGAGTTATTTGAATCTGAGATTCTTTCTGCAGTTTGGGAGAAATAAGGCCTCAAGAAATACCTGGCGGTTCTGGGTGTTCATAGGCAAGTTTGTATGAGGGTAATGGATTGATTTAAGAGCTGGATTTGGTTTTGTCTAGTAGTGTGATTAACACAAACAATATTCTGGCAGGAAAATTAGAAGGCAGTGGAGTTACCTTTTGAAGCAACTCACAAGTGGCTGAACAAGGTGAAAAGAGCACAAGAAGATGGAGGGCAGGAAAATGAGAGCAATTCTACTTCATTTTGTCATTAGAGGTAGAGAAAAGCCTCTCGTGAGCCATAAACTGAAAGGAGAAGCTGCTCCTTAATTTTATCACAGGGTTGATTAGAGGTGGGAGACATTTGCTGGTGATACAGTAGAGCTGCTAGTGATCTCCTGGAAGACATGCAATCAGTGGGTTTGTGCTGGGATTATTCCTTCATCTCCCTAGCAAATTACACTCGGGGGAAGAGCAAAGAAGTGCACCCATGATTAAGGGCAAGAAGAGCTCACTGCCATGCTGGGGACACTTGATTGCCACTGTGGAAGACAACTTGCTCCTCAGCCTCCTAACTTACAGATGCAGGGAGGAAAGCCCATGGGATCGAATGTAACCGGCCTCACAGGCCCTGAAATAATTCTAAGGAGAACCAAGAAAACAGCTCTATTCCCCACCAGGGCGCTGACATTTTGGCCCAGTGGTTCTAGATCAACATTAGTCCATTGCAGGATTCGGTTAAGCAGATTCAGTGGGCTCTGGAGGAGCTGGGGAGTGAAGAAACCTTGTCTTGAAGCATTGGGAAGGACCCTCCATAAATAGCATCCACTTGCTCCCCTGCTGCCGTGACTAGCATGGATAGGCTCGCTCTCCCTCTCCGTGCTGCAGGAGACTCTCTTCACATTTTTAAATTAATTTACTCTATATTTTGCTCTCCTAGAGAAATTCACCCTAGGCAAAGACCAGACTCTGCCAGCCATGGGGTACCCACACACAGGGCAATGAAGGATTATGGTGGTCCCTTTTGCAGATGGGGCTCTGATGTACCTCTTGGAAGGGTTAAGTGGCCTGTGACGAGCTGATGCAGCAAATCTGCAGCAGAGGTCTTTTTGTCAAACACCGGGCCTCAAGAGAGCAAGCTCTGACTCGGGGTCCCTGTCTGACCTTGGGCAACTTGCTTACTCTTTTCTATGCTCAGATCTCTGTGTGTAAAACATGGATAATGCTGTTGCCTTTCTCTTGCCTGTTCAGCAGTTTAGCATCTTATGTGTCAGATATCCCAGCTGAGACTGGGGCCTTCTTGTGCTACAGCAACAGAAATAAATTAGGAGCATCAGAAATACAGCTTTCTCGCACACCCTGGGCTTTTAACACAAAACCCTCCTCCCCTTCCCTCTGTTTATGGGTGATGAGCAAGAGACAAACCAGAAAACAAGAAGGACAAAAGATTGATTGTGCGTGGTTTGTTGCGAGCCTGAGAGAGGCCCAAGACAATTATGGGGATTATCTAGAAGTTCTAGTTTTAATTGCTTTCTCTGTTTTAATCCAAATTTATTTTTTGCTATGCAAAGCTTTTAAAAAGCAGCAGGTTCACAAAGGAGCAAACCTGCCTGCTTGTTCCTGGGCTGCAGAGCTCTGCTCGTGTTTGCCTTCCCCCACCCCTTTTGAAGCCTGGTAGTAACAAAGAGCTCAGCATAATGCTCTTGCTTTTCAAAACGATCACAGATAACTGAACGCTAATAAGACTGGAGCAGCATTGTCAGAAGGTATCTCAGCGGTGGCTGTCTCAGGGGGATTGAGACTGACAGAGGCATTTTCTATTATTGTCGGATGCTGAGGTGTGAGCATTATCCCTGCACCCATCACCCTGTCCGGAGACTAATCATGCTTTGTCTGTGTCAATTCCCAAGCACGTAAAAGTGAGTTAAATAAAATTATATGAGGAATGATGGAGAAGGGGGACAGAGAAGAAAAAGGCAGGCAGGCAGGATCACGGACTGTGAGGGAGAAGAGCAGAACAGATTGGGTGGGAATGGGGGAGAGGAGAAGAAGAAGGAGGAGCAAGCCACATCACGTGTGCTTTCAGTCTAGAAAACAGAGCTATATTATGTTGCCTTCCAGTCATCACTGGGCTCCCTATTGAGACAAGTGGTGTAATTTTTTACTGGGGGTCTGACCCTTCTCTGTTTTGCATTATGTAATTCCCTTAGGTTAAAATCAAAAGTCATTGGAGAATGAGGACTACTCTCTTAGGCTTTCTCCCAGCATCATGGGAGAACCTGAGTGTGTTATGCAAAATGAGTTAAAGGCTCCAGGTGGTGGCTTTATTTGCATTTGCGGTGGGGAAGGATTGGGAGTCGGTGGGCAAAGGATGTTCATGTGGAGCTCTATGAGCATCAGCCCAGATGGGTTTTTGGTTGTACCCATTGGTGTCATCATGCCGAGCCAAAGGACTGTCCTCTCAGGCAAGATTTGGGGTAGATTTTTCAAGACATCTATTCACATCTATCTCTTAAGTCGCAGGACTGAAATACTAACAAGGATGTGCCTGTATCTGCATTCGTTTTTAGACATTATTTAGATATGCTAATGACCAAATTCCATCAGTTTTCTCTGACACAGAGCTTCTAGAGCTTATGGTCCCAAGTGGATTGAGGTTTGTTGCTCTCATGGATTTTTTTCATAAGCCAGACATTTATTCTACAGATTTGGGTGCTTAAATACTTTTCAAAACAACTAGGTTATGTCTTATCTTACTTGCGAGTATAAAATTTAGGCTTGTAGGACATTTTAAGTTATGTCTTAAGGAGCCTTTTCTATCTGGGTTCAAATTTCTAGAGCCAAATGACTGAAGCCAGCTGTGTCTAGACTGGCTACGTATAGAGACAAAACTTGACTTTGAGCCAGTTCCCCTTGCACACAAGTTTCCATGGTTTGAGCAGTCTGTATGGCTACAACCATGCTTGAAATCAGCAGGGAGCCTTACAGCGGTGTGTATCAGACCGCAGCTAGCTCTACTTGACTTCAAACTTAACCTAAAACTTCAGCTCCTGATCTTCAGAAATACCAGGCCGGTTCTCAAGGTGCAAGTACTGTTGCCCCGTGAATATAAAAGGTATGCAGATGTTGAGTCCTGAGCAGGAGTGTCAGCTGATTGGGAAAGTCAGTTCTGGGTAGTAAAGATCTATAAGCAAAAAAACCCCTCCAAATCATAATTTTGACCACTGTCTTTGTATTGCTCCAAATCCCAACTTTGCTGCAGGAGGTTTTCTAAAGCTGTGCTGCTTCGTCTGGGTCTGTGGGTCAGTCTCCTAGGAGACACACACAGAAGAGATGGGTTGAACCTAATGCCCAAATGTGTAAAGTCCAGGAGTTAGCCCTCGTAAGAATGTTGCCAGGAAAAAGGATTTTGAAGGGTAGAAGGGTGCAATTTACAGGCTAGATCCAGGTCACAGAAGAGTGTAACTACACAGGAATACTGCAGGGCAACTTCACACCAAATGCATCTGTCCCCTAAGACTACGTGGCTAACTAACTTTGTTCCAAGACAGTGCTAAAATAATCTGTATACATCTGACCACATTTGGTAACGGCAGCTGGGTACGGGCTTGCTAGCAATTCACTATGGAGCTGAAAAGAGGAGGGAGAGCGGTTTGGTAACAGTAGAGCATCACCTACTCTTTGGTAAGTGTGCCCTTGGTGTGAGGGGAGAGCAAAAACTCTGACCCAACAGTAGGATGCAACTTGGGTGTGTCACAAACCTTAAGCATTGAGACCTTATCTGAAACGGATTTTAGGGCTTAGAGGAGCAGGGCTGTAGATACGGGGGCCAGCCTGGAGGTGCAGTTGGGCCATGCATCTCTCAACCGACTCTTTCAACAGTGGTATCCACTCCTGGTCAAGTTTAGGTTGGGAAGAGGCATGGTTCCTGAAAGTAAAAAGCAGCAAAGAAGGATTTTCAAGAAAGAGAGAGGCATAGACAGGAAGGGGAACACATATCTTTACCTTTGTAGCCACAGAAAAAAAAAAAAATCTCATTCCGGTTGCAGTTTCATTGCTGTTTAACCAGAAATCCAGAGTGATGGAGAAGATTTGCTTAGCCTTACCTGAACACGAGCTCGTGCGATGTATTGGGTCCCACCACGGCAATGGAGCCTGTGTAGATGACATACAGGACACAGCAGGTCCTTAACACATTTTCAGTACCCGTGGGGCAGGTTGGGAAGGACAAACATTAACCACCTTGCCTTGATTCCTGTTGTGCAAATCAAAAGAGATTACCAGGCTTGGCATTCTGACATGGAACAGAACCATCTTTTTTATGGCTGAAAAGATGTAAAGCCACAGTCAAGGCTGCAGTTCTTCAATTATGTTTGCACAGGAGTGGATGGTTTATAACATGAGCGTAGCAGTTACCTCTATAGCTATAATGTGGCTTAACCTCTATGGCTATTGACAACTGACTTATCTTGGACTTAGTTGTTGCTAACAAAAAGGAAGCCAGCAGCTTGGCAGAGCAAAACTCCATGTTTTCCATCTTTTTTGATTCATGGACAGGCTGTCAAATGGTGAATTGCAGCCTTCTGGCAAAAGGATTGGTGTTTTAATTGCATATATTGCTCTATAGAAGTTCTGCAGGATGACCATAGGGTGAAAATAATTGCAACAGACTCTTGATAGCTGCAGAATTTTAAATAAATTAGTGGGAGCAGCTTACAGGTCCACATGAAATCCAGATAAATCCGAAGCATGGTTTAGTTTAAGAAAGGTTGTTCTGGCTGAACTTGTGGGTCAGTCTGTGTGGTTTGTTGATTGTTTTTTGGGGGGGAAGGGGTGGGTTGTAGTGGTTTATGACTCTTCCAGGGATGGTTTTTGCATTCATCGTGATTTTGATTCAGGTTGATTTTATAAGAACCTCAGTAACAACAGCATAACCATGGTTGCATACCGAGGGCCTTCAAATCTGATAAGGTAGCTCTCAAAGGAAGCTGCTCATAGGGTTGGTTTCCGGAAGTCTCCATACTATTTATACCTGGCTAATAAGGCTCTGCCCTTGAGCCTTGCTGCAAATCTTGCGTAGGCAGGCTTGTGATTTTTCTGTTCTCTTTGTTAAGGACATAATCTGAAATTATCAAGGAAATCCTGAGCTTAGGATAACTTTAGAGGGCATAAATCAATTTGAAGACCTGGTGGAAAGTAATCAATTTACTTCTTTATAAACCTATCACATATGCAAAGTTAACTGAGAACCCCTGTTGAGAAACTGGGATTAATTCAGTGTTTTTGCTGGAAACAGCCAAGTTAAAATCCATTCAGCTTAACAAAAAGCTTAAAAATTAAGATTAAAAAGTCTTTAAGTGACTAGATCGAAAAAGTAATTCTTGTAGAAGAGGACCTTTCAACCTAGTCAACAAGACTATAACAGGATTCGGCAAGCAGTGGTTGAAACAGAGGAGAGAAAGCAGATGTAAATTTTTGCCAGAAATGATAATTAACCGTAGCCACACTAGTACTCTTCAGCATTGTTATGGCTTGCTGAATGATAGCCCATTAATGTACAGTCCTTAATTCTGGGCAAAAAGTCTTTTTGAAAAGGTATAGTCCAATTTAGCCACAAATTGTTGGGCTTAAGGCAGTAATTGGATGAATTTCTGTGGCCTGAGTTACACAGAGGAGCCAGCTAGAGGATTATATAGTTGACCTCTCCTGACCCTATTTTTTTTCCATGAAGTCTGCAGCAGGTATCAAATACAGTTCATTTTTATTCTTTTAACTGCTATGATTTTAATAGAAAACTTTAGACTAATCTCTTAATTCAAGATTTTGAGAAGTCCTAGTGAGGGCAGCAGCCTCATTTTAGGAAGGTCTACATGAAGCCATCCAAGGGGAGGCAGAAATGCAGAACAGTTTGTCTCTGAAAATAAAGCTCCTGTTAAGACATCTCAAACTGTGCTCCTCAAAGAGGCACTCAATCACCAGTCACATCGGAAAAAACTTTGTGCGTGTGGTTTTCTGGGAATGTCGCAAACATCTGCAAGAGGTTTGGTTTGCTGAATAGGGGAGTTGCCCAGTGTTCACTGCTATCTGTAAAAACCTCACTACGCTAAAGTACCTTGTTCCTAGCAAGCAGACAGTGAAGAGGAAGATCTCACAGAGCCATTAAAAGGCAGCAGAAACCCTCGGGCTCTGAATATTCTCAGTACACATGCACAATACAGGCTCTTAAAAGCATCTGGTTTTGAAAACAACTACAGCAATGAAAAGAAGGATGGAATTTAAATGTTGCCCTTGAATGCATGAGCAAATGGTAGAAGCCCTAAGCAGTAATCAAGTTTGAGAGAGAGTTATATATATAAAAAAAATATAAAATTCCTTCCTTGTGGTTAACAACTATTTTAGTAGCTAACAGCCTGAGGTGCCATTGGAATTGCTGCCGTAATAGGGATTTCATTATTTTTATAGCCTGTGCTTATTTCCTAGATTTATGAACAAATTTTCTTTAGGCAGATCTTGCACCTAACATGAAATCAGCTCTTGGTGATGGAAGAAAATGTTGTGGAGCTCTGTTATGTGTAGCTTGTAATAGTTGTGAACTCTGACTAGAATTAAAACAATGTCACTCCCTTATAGCATGGATGCAATTCAACTGGTGTAGTCTTGCACTGGTATATAGTGTAGATTTTTCTCCCTGGGAAAGCTGTAAGCCATCTATAACGAGACTTAACTTTTAATTGCTGTCCTTGTCACATACTAAACAGTTTCTTACCACTACAGGCATGTTCTGAATCACCCTGACACTATTAGCGAAAGTTATACTCTTGACCAGCATAACTATATAGTAACTGAGCCCAGATTTGACTTCCTAAGATGGAGCTGTAGCAGTGGAGAGGAGCAGCGTGGCCCGCCTTGAGCAAGGACGCAGGGGCAAAGGCAGAAACTCCCCCACTGGAAAGGGAAGATCCCTGGAGCCTTTCTTATCTCATGGCAGAGGGGTGCGTGTGAAATTCAGGGGACAAGGGAGCATTAAATCAGAGAGGGTATGTTTGTTGTAGCCTCTTGTATGACTATACCGAGGTGTGTGAATTTAAGGTTGTATTTAATTGCTTGTTTTAAAGAACTTACCCCCCAACGTTGACAGCTCTTATTTCCCAAAAGGGCACAGAATTTCTGGAGTGCACAATAGCAGCTGTGTGAATAACCACGTGAACTCCCAGCGTGGCAGCAAGGAGCAGATTGTGGTCTCGAACGTCTCCTTTCATCACTGTCACATGAGTGGTAGCTAGAGAAAAATAATATACCATAGATGCAGAGGAAAAAGTACAAATCAGCATCCTCACCTTCTTGCAGAATGAGGATCCTGCTTGGAAAGCTTTCTTCTCTGCAGGGCAAGCTGAAGCACACTCTAACGAGTGTGCCATTTGAATACATCACACCAGGGGAAAAATACATCCCTATTTTTGAGCCCCAATGAAGCCAGATCTGCATCTGGTTTAATTCAGTGCAGAACTTTGCTGGTTTGTACTGACTGTGGGTCAGAATAATTGTGGCCACCATTGCAAATCTCCAGTATGCATCCGAGGGCGGTGCGGAGCAAGAATGGGAGACCGTTGGCCCAGGGCTGCAGCTGGTTACAGGACTTGCTCCAGTACGTGTGAATAAGTGAAGCTGTACAAGACAATTTCCTTAAGATACAAGATTTTTAGAGCTTCCTGGGAATAACACCAGATTAATTCAAGGGGCATTCCGCAGAGCTTTATTTAAATTGTAAATACTATAGATGTTAAGGGAAAATACTGTAACAGGTTGAAAAGTTTCATAGGAAATTCCTCCCTTTGATCCATTCAGAAGTGTTTTTTTAAGCCCATCTGTCCCTGCCCCCTCCTCTCTCAAAATAGCTGTTCCATACATGGCTACTGTTGGCATCTACTGCTGATTTTCCTGCATTGAGACAGTGCTGGAATGTTTAAGTGGGATTTATTTCCTTTTCTGGAGTTGTGAATAGGCCAGCAAGGAGCTGGGTTAGGAAGCTGTACTGCTTGGGGCTTTTGTAATAAGCCAGACGGCAGTAGCAGTCAAAGGACTGCTTTGGGAAGAGGTCTCCTCTGCCCTGGGCTGGCAGCTTCCTGGAGAGCCTCATGCGGTCAGGGATCAAGTGGCAATTTCTGAAGTAACCCAGGGAAAGGTCTGTGACTCCAGCTCTGGAAGCGTTATGAGGCATGGAAACCTCTCAGTGAACAACTACCAGGACAAGGGGATGAAAGATCAGGGTTATTCCTCATGAACTCAAAGGAGAGACGAAATTCAAGATAGTAGGTCAGCTGGCTGAGCATTTGCTAAAAATCTCAACGTAAGAAGGCGCAGAAGTTTTACAAAAGGGTCAAGCTGATTTCTTAACTAGCATAATCAAGATTTGGTGGACTTGCTCATAACTAATTTAATATTAAATTAGTTTATTATTAAAGCACAGAGTTTATTTGGCAAGAATAGAGCAGAAAAAGAAAGACCTTATCCATGCAGCAGAAGTAATATGCTCGCCTGGAGGACCGGATCTCAGAGGAGGATGCTCCTGCTGCAAGGTGGATCAGGGTGTCAGCAACCTCATGGCGGGGAGATTTTGGTGCTACTTAGTGATGAGGGTTGATGTGTTAAATAATCTCTTTCACATCACCTGTCTTAAGGCAGCTGGTACAATTAAGACCAGCAAAAGAATGATGAGAGCTCTGCCAAAAGCAGGGAAGGATACAGGGCAACCAGGAGAAATTTTCAAATTGATAAGGCCCGATGACTTTTATCCAGGGCTACTAAAGTGGTGATGAATGTCACTGCAGCTTTGTTGCATTCTCAGCTACTTTGGAGAGCTTTTGGAGGAGGTGCTGGAAGACTGCAGCAGAGCAAATGAAACACCTGGGCTTAGAAAGGAGGTAAAGAAGAGCCAGGAAATTAAAGAACAGCTTGATTCAACCCTGGGAAACTCAGGAACACACACTTAAACAACATGTGTGTGAGCACCTGCGGGATAATAAAGAGAATAGAAGCAGCTGACATGGATTTGTCAAGAACAAATCAAGTCAGATGGATCTCCTTTGTTCTTATGACAAGTTAACAGGCTGTACGGATATTGTGGAACAGGTCGATGTCATCTATCTTGATTTGAGAAGGGCTTTGGAAACTCTCTGTCATTCTCATAAGAGAGTTGGTAAAACATGGTCTAAGTAAGGCACATTAGGATGAGCGCAAAGCTGGCTGAATTGCAGTTCCCAGGGAACTGCCAGCTGTGGTAGGTGGCTGCCCTGGGGCTCTCCGGGGCTTATTGCTGTATTTGAGTCTTTTTTATTGTTTTCCTCAAGAATCTGGCAGATTTGTTCATTAAATCAGCAGATAACATCAGGCTGGGAGGGACTCAAAGTACGCTGGAGGATTAGAGTACAAGCTGAACGTAACTAATAGAGTCTGAAAAAAAAAAAAAGGTGAAATTTGATAGGGACAAGGAGAAGTTGTTGGGCTTAGTAGGGAAGAGGCAGCAAGTCTTCTGAAAGAATTAAATTAGGCCAGGGCAGCTCAGGACCTATTTCCTGTCAGCAGCGTCTTGCAACTCTGAAAAAGGCATAATTGTGCTGACAGGTACAAATAGGAGAATAGTTTGCAGGACAGAAGAAATAAATCCATCAGAGATACAGAAAGCGTGAGCTGCGGAGGAGTGCACGAGAGTTGTTTTAGCCTGAAGGAGAAGACAGCATGGAGTGGAAAGGGTGGTGCTGTTCAAATCATGAAGATTGTTGTAAAAAAAATGATGGTATTAACCTATTCTACCTGTAAGGTTAGATGAGAAATCGAGGACTTAAATTGCAGATTAGACTGTACCAACAGTAGTAGCCTGACGGTGCAGAAATTGGCCGCGCGAGGTGGCCTGGAGACAGGGCAGGAAGGCATCTGCCAGGAAGGTCGTGGCTGGGCTGATTCTGGCTTTGGGCAGGGGATTGGGATGGCCCCTCAGGGCTGCTTCTGCCTCATTTTTCTGTGATTTGCTGTGATGTTAGGCCACAGACCTCTCCTGGAGCAGGGATTAAGGCAGCTCCTTAAGGTTTAAATGGGGTTTGGTGGGTTTTTTTGTTTTTTTTTTTTTCAATTATGGGTGCTTTTAAGGCAGTTGGCTACCTGAAGCCTGAGGAAACCCATCTGGTGAGTTCACCTGCCAAGGGAGGATTTCTGATAATGGTATTTCCCTGGGAGTCTTTTAACTTGCTTTAAGTGTATTTCTTTTCTATTGACCTCTCCTAACAGACAGGATTTCCCTTACCATTTTTTCCTCTCTCCTTCGAAGGAGGCTGAAGGTTTGGGCAGTCGGAGAGAGGGAGCCCTAGCCCACGGTGAGCTGCATTGGCTTGTTTGGGGTGGGTATTCTCAAATCCAGTAAAACAGGTTGCTTTTCCCCAACATATCTCACTGTAATCAGCCCTGGTGAAACATCAGAAGGCAGCTTTCAGAATATGATCAAATGGATTAATTTAATATCTTTGAGTGTGTTTACTGAGACTCATTTCTTCCTTTTTTATGTACAGCACAGTGAGGCTACTATAGGTTTCTCTCCATTATTCCTGTAATATATTTCACAATATCTGCAGCAAATGTTGATCTTGATTCTATTATTGTCAGGGTTTTTTGGTTATTTTTCTCAGAATTGATAACTGGTTGGAGCAGTTCAGGAGCATGTTTTTTTGTCCCTTTGCTGTTAGTCAGACTGGTTGAGCAGAAGCAACCGGGTTAGCCAAGTTCACATGCATGTTGCTCCTTACAACTGATCCCTGAGTGGGGACTTAGATCCTCCCTGTGATATATCTCCTGGGGTTACACACTATGAATCTTTTTGCTTTGATTTAGTCCTATGCTGAAAAATCTCTCTGAGCTGGAAGTTACTCTTCACGCCGTCTGTTTAATCCAGGTTCCTAGCCCATGCCTTTAACTGTGGCATCTCCAACTTAATACCAGCTCTCTTGAAAGGGAGGGTTATGGCCTCTAAATAGAAGATGATGCCCTTTTCTTACCTGTGCTGGATTTTTCTACTTCTTCTCTCGCTACTGAATCAAAAACCCTGACCACTTTGATGTAGTTTTGTTGAGACAGGAGCTCTACAGTCTTCTCCCCAATAAAGCCACATCCTCCTATCACCAGGTAGGCCCAGGCTCTATCCATTTCTGAAGATGTTTTTGTGGTTGAGGAGTAGGGAGAAGGTTGCTGCCAAGATCCTATCATGCGCTGTTAGTCGCTCAGCCAGTATGTTTTCTTAACTAAGTCTAAAGTTTAACTGTCATATAAAGTTACTGGCTGAACATTAACTCCATCCAGTTATATATAGATCAGGTTTTCATTGGCACAGTCACACGAGTGCTGCCACAGACATACCAGTGCTACGTACAGGCTGATTCTGGTCTCTCTGACTCAGCCTTTCCCTTCTACCACTGTGATCAGCAGGGAACCTCCAGCTTGCCTTGCTATCTGGCCAGTCTCAGTCCCAAATTTTGATGCCAGAAGTTTTCCAACCTGGGCAGCCCTTTCCCACGGGCCGGGTTGTCAGTCGTCGTAGCCTAGGCATCTCCGGGTGCTGCACAAAGATGGCGTGCCCTGGAGATGTGCTTAGGGCAGCCGTCTTCCAGCATGAAGCTCCAGAGGTCTCGTTCCCATGCGCTAGCGAATTTCTAGAGCTGGTGTACAGCAGCAGATCTATGCGGTGCCGAGCTGCATCGTGCACAGTAAGGGCAGGGTCAGGAATGGCCGTCTGCAACTTTATGATAACTGACGCTACCAGTTTGATTAGCATGGCTCTCCTGAATGAGAGCTGGGATAAATACATACTTACGCACACACACGCACTTATTTAGGAGGACAAAGTCTTCTGTTAATTTGAAAAATGACTACTAGTAAAAGCACATCCTTTGGCAAATTGTTACAATGGTTAATTATCATCATCGTTACAAGAGCGCGCTCTTTTTTATCTGCCAGATAGTGGCTAATACACTTTTTCCTTGCTAGGCTGCAAAGGCTGTGTGCCATCCAGTTTGTCATGTGGTTAAAAAAAAAAACAACAGGAGAAGGGATTGTCTTTGTCTAAGGGTGCCTGATCCTGTCCTAAGGGGGATGAGAGGGTGGAGGTGTGAAGACCTGCCCTCTGGCACAGCTGTTTCTCCCTCTCTCTGCCTTTCTCATAGAGAGTCTCAGAGATAATGAATCAGGCCTGATCAGCTACCAGCCTCTCTTTGATGCTGCCAAGCAAATTATTTCCGTATGTCTGCAGTAGTCAAATACTTTCTAATCCATCTTTGAACAAACTTGTCACCAGTTTTGGTGAATGCTGGTGTAAGAAAGGTAGCAATGATAAATAGGGTAATGTAATCTCTGTGCTTGCTTTCTCTTTATAATGTGTACAGCAAAGTAGTTGCCTTTCTGGCCATAGTGTTGCTTGGGAAGCTCAGGATTAGTTTGTTCTCATATAAGGTCACTGCTTTCCCCATCCCCAATTCCCCAGTCTGTGAGCACGGGCCCACAGCGATGCTGGTTCAGGCTGCATTGGGGTGGGGATACTCCTGGTAGCCCCTTCCCTGGTCACATAGAACAGGCTGAAACGTGGAGACCAATTACAACCGCGTGAAGGTAGAAAACAGTATTGTCAGAGCCTTTCTTACTATAGCATTAATGCCTGTATGTCTTTAAAAATTAAGCTGTATGGCAACTTGCTGTTGAGCATGTGTTTAATGAAGAGTTAACACAGTGTATTCAAAGAGTAACTGTGTTTTGTTTATGTGTGTATGTATTTTTTTAATGAGCTCCTGCTAGAAGTTCAATCTGTTCAACCCTATCATTGATTTTTCTTGTGCTGTGTTAAGCGTTGGGAAAAGCGCCGTTTCCCCTTGCTGCGATTATCATCAGTGGCCATAATGACCCAGAGGCCAACATGGGGCCTGATGCTAATTCGGTGCTTGGCAGACCAGTGCAGCCACAAACATCCCGAGAAATTAATTTAGTCTTTTATCCAGCAACTCCCAATCTGTACAGTCGTGATTAACAGAACTGCCATCCCTCAGAGGACTTTTTGCAAGGATAAATATATCTGAGTTGGAGGTGTTAGGACACAAAACCCAAGATAAATACACCCTGAGAGACCGAGAGAAGTTCTGCATGGGAATGTTTGGCATCAAGTAACCTTGAGTATGTCCTTATCAGAAGTGATGCAAAAAGCTGTATGAAGCAGAGGCCTTGATGCTGTGGATGTTTCCCAGTGTTTACAAGATTCAGCCTTTGCTACAATACTGGTAACTGCCTATCTGCAGTGTAATCTGATCAGTTGGGGAAAAAATTGGCTGTGAGCTATGTATCTATCTCTTGTTTTTGTTAGGATGCAAAAACAAGTTCAGAAACCAGAACTGTCACCTCTCTGACAGAAACAGCCCAGGTCCTCTCCTACAGCCACGGCTCACGCAGGGTAAAGCAAAGAGAGAGGCAGTTGCAGCTAAATGGGTCCTATAGTAGGAAGGTTTAAAAAAAAACAAACCAAAAAACCACATCCTCTTCTAACAGTTTGAACCATCACATGAGGTGATGACTCTGGGGTCATAAGCCCAGACATAAGTCCAGAGGCAAATTCAGAGAAAGCACAAGGGGACAAAAGCAGCTGCTTCCGGAGGAGGGAGATGCCCAGGAGGCACCGGGGGATTGCAGGAGGGGGCCCGGGTGGCCGTTGCTCTCCGAGATTAGCCCACTTCCCTGGACTGTAAGGGAGCTTGTGAGGAAGCCAGGCAAGGTGCAAATAACAACAGATTTTCGTTTACGCTCTTAAGCATTGCAGAATTCTCTCTCTGGCTGGTTCCCCGTCAGGCAGCCTGCTGCAGCGAGCCCTCCTCAGAGCACCCTAGCTGGGCCGAGGGACTGCGACCCGGGTCTGTACTGACGGAGAACTCCCGCGGGAGCAGGAGGGCTGTTCCTGCAGGATGAGTCTGCCGTAGCCAGGTAGTGCCTCACTCTGCGATGCAAAGAAAGATGCTCCAACTTGACATTGCTTGAAGGCTTACCTAGGCTGCTTGAGGAATTGAATGCCTCACCAGGAAGGCAGGACATGCCCCTGTATTTGGTTCGAGGGGCTGGGAGTGCAGAGTGGTGACTAAGTGCATCCTAGAGACAAACCTCTGAGGTGGCTGTCGTGCTTGCTGAAGTAGTCTAGCAATATCTGCAGAAGGGTCAGTCCCGTCATGGGCAAGGAAACTTGTCACGTTTGGCTTTAGTTAATGAAGGCCCTTTTTGCCCCTCCACCCCATGGAAGATGACCAGGAGCAGGGTCTTCATGCACAATCTTGTTTTTTTAGGAGACCTGCAAACATATAGTCAGAGAAAGTTGAGATGGCAGGCAAGAAAAACAGATGCCCTAATTTCAGGATGCAGTGTGCTTGAACTTGCTCTGAACTTTGTAAATACAGGACACCTGACATAATATTCATTTACAGTATGTTTATTTCTCAGTGCATTACATGAAAGGTCTTTGGTATTTGTGGGTTCTTGAATACTGCTCCCACTCTGCTCTGTAAGAAAATGCTGAATACAAAACATTCCATATACAGTAACAAAACCCATAGCAAATAAAGAGAAATAGATATTTTGAACAATAACATAGCAATATGAAAACAGATAAGTAACCATGCAAGAGGTGGAACAAACAGATTGTGTTTACAACAAACAGTAGAGCCTGCCATAAAGGAGTTCATCGTGTCAGACAAGATTTATTCTTGCTCTAAGTTAAGAAATTACACATGATTGCAAGATACTGTGTATGGCTGCCCTATAAAAGACCAAATGGTTGTAAAGCTTAGTACAATGAGAGAAGGCGGGACCGTTTGCACACATATGAAACACACTGATATAAATAAAAAAAAATACTGTGTAAAATAACTAGTGAAAAAGTTAACATTTCCTTCTATGGATGGGAATGTGCTTTGTGGACAACTATAGCACCTCTGATTGCTTGGTTTCAACACAATCACAGAAACTGCGAGTAGTTTAAACCCCTATACCACCAAATACCAAAATGGAATGTAATCTCGAAAAAGACGGAGTCTGTAAACATGGAGAAGGATGGCTTTCCAATAAATTGTATCGAGAAGTAATTCCAGATTGTCTTTCTAGAAGCCTTTGTCACAGTGGTCAGGTTCCTACGTTAAAATAGTTCATTGCAGAGACTGGGATTGAACCCCAGTTCCAGAGCCAAACCCGCAGAAAGCTGCTCGTGAGCCATGCGCTCTGCTCCACTGAACGCGGCACCAGTCCATGCTAGCTGGAGATCTGGATCTGTTTTTTATGGCCTGTTCCTGTGAAAGCTGATGGCAAAATTACTGTGGAGTTTGGTGGGAGCAGGTGAGGGCTCTTCTCTCTAGTTTATTCCTATTTCCCTGGGTTGCTATCAATTCTTTACAGTAAGTGCAAATTCGGTACTCTGGAGAGAAGCATTCTCCATCTCCCAGGAGTACCAGACTGCTGGTGAACGTGAGGGTGCACGAATTGCAACGATTTTTGGTTGTGCAATGTGCTGCTGCTTCTGGTTAGCGCAAGGCAAGGAAAACGCATTACTACTACCAGAACTGATCCAAGTCAGAAACACCTTGGAGCTCAAAGAAACATTAAGAATTTCAAAAAAATCTTAGGGGAAAAAAAAGGAAAAGAACACACTATGGTATTGCACAGTATGCATGTAAGATAAAGCACTAAACATTTCAATTAAAATATATTTCTAAATGAGCACGCATTCAAAATAAATCCACTCTCAATGTTACATAGACATGGCAAGATGCATTATATGCCCTGGCTAAAATGAATCTGAGTAGCCTGCCTAAGATGGAAAATGTGGTTGGAGTGGTTTGCTTAGTCATGAATATCGTTAATGCCAGCGTGTGAGGCTGTGTTCACCTTTAAAACATAATTAAACTGGGACTGCACAACAGTGTAGTCCAGCCCTTGTGTAAGTAGAGAGGAACGAAACCCCAGCTGAGAGAGAAAGTCCAACTGGTATAATCCTACTGTCACCCAAATTAAAGATACAGTACCGCATAAGAGAGAGATTGTAGCTAAATAAAGCGAGAAGTGTGGGGAGAAAAAAAATTACATAGCTCATACAGAAATCTGGAAAAGTCAATAATTAAAATGGTTGCAACCCA